AATGCGGCACGAATGGCGTTTCCTATTTCGCCGACCGTGGGAGGTCCAACGTTGGCGGCACCTGCAGCCCACGCAGCGGGATCGGCAATGGCCAAGTCGTTGGGATTGAGCTGATCAAACTTGTCGGGAGTGTCCGTGGCCCATCCTTCCAGGGACAGCAGGGATTTCTTTTCTTYTTCAGAGTAGTTTAGCAGTCGGTSGAAATAAGCTTCYAGATGGTAGTGATCGGCGTTGACGGTTACGGCTCCTTTGTTAATAGTCAGTTGAATTTGTTTGATGAGAGAGTGAGCCACGTTGTTGATGGGAACGGCCGATGAGGTATCGGTCAGGAGTGCACCATTGGGTGCGTCGAGAAATTCCACGTCGAATTCCAGTAGGATCTTGGTCATGTCGATCCAGGTACGGGTTCGGTCCACCGTGATTTCCAAAGGGTCCACGGCMGCCGTGGCTTGCGAGTAGACTTCCGATTTGGATTTTTCGCACGTGACGTCGATGGGCAGTCGTTTAAACAAGTCGACCACGGTCCCTTTGTGTACTTTCAAGGGAGGGGCATCTTCGCGCGTGGCTTTAGCGGCAGGAGCGGCACGTCCTCCGTGTTGTCGTTTCATGACGAGGTCGAGTGACGAATCAGGGTAGGTCGGGTAGGTCGACGGTCCTTTTTATATGGTCTAACTGTTGAGGATGTCGTTTCGCATCACCTTGTACTTGGTACGTCCGCGCGTGAGCACGCCTTGCTTTGCGCGTTTTTGCTCAGGGGTCAAGTTGTTGTCCTGAGCAATTTTCCTGGACTTCTGATCGATGGCTTGGATGAGGTTGTCTACCTTTTTCAACTGCTTGACTTGTTGAGGCCTGAGGTTGTTCAGCGGAGTAGACGTGCCGGCCACATTCCCAAAGTTGATTTGACGTTTGAGTGGGGTTTTGCCTTTGCCTGTATAACCACGACCACGACCACGGCCTGGACCCGTACCCGTACCCGTACCTTTAGGAGTAACGCTTCCAGGCCCAAGCTTGACTCCCGAGGGTCCTGCAGGAAGAGACCAAGCAGGGGTGGTGCCAACGACGGGTCCAGGACCAGGAATAAGAGCAGGAGCAGGACCAGGAGCAGGACCAGGGGCAGGACCAGGTGCAGGCGCAGGAGCAGGACCTGGGGCAGGAGCCGCTGCAGGAGTAAGTCCTTTTTGAGCCATGGCTTTTTGGTCTTGAAAGCTGGCCGCATAGTTGGTCATGAAGCGAACACGCTCGTCGGGCGTGAGACTGGGATCGGACATGACTTGTTTGACCATTTTATCCGCGTACTTGACGAATTCCACCTTGGGGGATTGCTGCAACGACTGTTGAACGGCCATGGTGTGCAAGAATTCGTTCATGCGGACGTTCCCATCTCGATCCACTCCGGCGATGGCTCCTCCMGCTTGGGACTTGGCGGTGGAAGCAGCTACATTTTCTTTAAGTTGTTTGAGTTCTTCTTGCAGGCGATTCCAGAGAATGACGGGAACCACGTAAGAGTTGGTGCCTGTGCTGCTGTTCATTTCGTGGTGGTGACGACTTGACGACCTTTAGGATAAAGCGTAACGGGTCGGCCTTTTATGACGACGTCCAAGGAGTCGTTGTTGGACGGAAGATGTCGGAGACTGGCAGGTGCCATGCGGCGAAGAGTCTGAACCTTGTTGGAGGGCATGGTGGGGCGAGGTTGTGAAAATCGAATGTGAAAGGGGTTGGTCACGGGYCCGTAGTCGGGAATGCCAGGAGCCAAGGTTCCACGCAGGGCTGCCTTGATCTTGGGAGCGGTGGACGAACGTTTTCGTTTGGCCCCGCCCAACTGAGTATGCTTTGCACGTTTCTTGCCTCCGCGTTGACGTCGTCCTTTCTTGTAATTAACCATGATCTTTATCTTTATGTTTCAGTGAGCAA